GATCTACTTGATGACGTTAGAGAAGAAGCGCGACTTCGAACTCTAGTCTACAAGCAGAAGATAGCAAACTTTTATAACAGACGAGTTCGGCCCCGAACATTCAAAATAGGAGACCTTGTTCTCAGGAAAGCTGGTTTTACGGGGTTCGAAACTCGATTCGGCAAGTTGGCACCGAACTGGGAAGGCCCCTACACTGTTGCCGAAGTGCCGCACCCAGGTGCTTATATCCTACGAGACACTGAAGGCAACCGGGTTCCCAAGGTCTGGAATGTCAATAATTTGAAGAAGTTTTACCCTTAGTGCGTCTCTTTCCAGTAAACTTTGTCTCATTTTTATATTTATTCTATTTGTGTCCGAACTCAATTAATAAACTTCACTTCACATTCGAAGTGATTCAGCCCTTTCACCGTGAATTATTCAGTCACTTCATTTGATTGGGTTGTGATTTTATTACTCTTACTTGTGAAGTGATTTGTTTTATCTTTTCTCATTTATATACTCGAAGTCCGCCTCTTCTAAATCCAAAGTCAGTTCCTTTGCCCGAGGTCAGAACCTTGTGTTAAATAAAGTTACTCTTTTCCGAAGTCATTCACTTAACCTAAACCAGCAATTCAAAATCAAAACTGAAGACCAAGAATAAACTTCAAAAATTATATAAAAACTCAACAATGTTATTTACAAATATGACTAAAAATTTAAAAAACCTAAACTACTCTGCTGGTGGAGGAGGCTGCTCCTCAGCAAGAAGAGGTGGTGATATAGGCTCGTCTCCAGCAGGGAGGGGTGGCACTTCTACTTCACCAGGGGCCAGCGTCTGCACTTCGTCAGACGAGACTGGATGCACTTCAGGAGGCTGCACTTCGGCTGGAGCTGCCTGATCCCCAACTCCGGCGCCTGGCGCTTCTTCTTCTTCTTCTTCTTCTTCTTCTCCCTCCACGGCCACCAGCTCAGCGTCAAAGGCTGGAGGAAAAATAGTGCGCCCCTCTGCATCACGCTCCCACTTCAGCATGATCTGAGGTAGGAAGTCAGCACAGAGGCTCTCCCCATCTTCCTCCACCCCTTCTTCTTGTTCCCCAAAGGTGACTGTTGTCACGTCCACCTCTGGGTACTGGGCCTTCACTTTCTTTCTACAGTCGGTGAAGGCCACGATTGCAGTTGGCAGCCGGTAGAGTTTGAGGATGTCTTTGAAGGTGCTGGAGTTGAGGAAGTTGCCAATATGCTCCTCCATCCCATTGTGAACCAGCATGTTCACGTTCTTCTTCAGCTCCGCAGCTGCTTTCCTCATCTTGTCCATATATTTGTCCTGAGCCTCGAGCTTCTCTTCGCAGATCTTCCTTTTACGTTCTTCGAGGCCGAGCTTCGTGCTCAGGACATCATTCTCGTTCTGCAGCTCGGTCACTGAAGGGAGAACTTCATCCAGCCTCCTCTGCATCTCCCTCTTCTGCTTCTCCCACTCCACCTTCTCCTTCTGCAGCTCATCTTTCTCCCTCTGAAGCTGGTCGCACTGCCTTTGCAAGCTGGCATGATCTCTAACGCTCTCTGCATACTCCTGCGCTAGAGCGTTTGTCCAGCTCGC